CCCCAAAACCCCAAAACCCCAAAACCCCAAAACCCCAAAACCCCGCAATGCAAAAATAGCAAAAGTCTTAATGTCAGTTGAAATTATAGATTAAATTTTTTAAAGAGGATATGAAGAAATAATCATCTTAGTCAAGTAAGGATCTAGAAGACAACAACTCAGAGTCTAATTTTCTGAATTTATGTTGCTTCGAGGTAAAGGAAGCCTTGATATCATTGTATCTAAGCATTAGACTCAGAGATGAATCTTCAATAAACGATTTGACTGATGAGAAATTTGAAAATGAGAGGGAGTAGCTAAGACATATTGACAGCTTAGAGATTATTGAGCATATCAAAAAGACCATTGAAATACTGATATTCATGGACGAGGATGAGATCAAGAAACAAGCAAGGAAAAAGCTTAAGAAATCTGCTTCTAAAAAGAATCTCAACGATAAAATAGCTCACAGTGAGGGCGACAGCTATAAACAAGGAAGTTAATATTCAATTGACAATAGGTTCCTTAATGACGACCCACTTGCAATGATTCTAGATGAAATTGGAAGTTAAAAATCAACTAGCAATACACCATTGTAGGATTCATAGCGCACGAGTAACTCTCGTCTGCCGCGTGAATATGAATAAACAATGCAGAAATACGAGAAGGAGATAAGAGATCATATAGGAGTTGAGAACTAAATGAGGGTGTTTATTGAGAATCTGTAAAACTAAATCGAAGATGAAGTAAAAAAAGCAAAGTCATAAGAAGATAAGATCTCTGAAATCAAAAGGGAGAAACGCAGACTTGATGATTTGCTCACCATTAGGGAAAATGAGTTAGACAAGTTATAAACAGTGAAAAAGGAGTAAGAGACGAAAGAGTCAATGATAAGTGAACTAGAAAAGAAAATAAAACACTCAGAGAAAAAGCATGAGAAATAAGTCATCAAACTACAAGCCGAACTCTCAAAGTATAAACAAAGATACGATTAACTACTTGAATAGCAAGCTAATGATTTGAATAGTATGGCAATGCTAAATAGCTTCGGGAAGTAGCAGTCTAACGAATTACTTAGAGAATCTCACGGTAGTCAAAAGATATCAAAGCTAAACTTGCCAAATTCCCTGTAAGACACAAACAGCAAGTTGTTAACAAACATGAATAACCTAGCAACTAACTAATCAATAGACTCGATTTTAAATACCAATCCTGCATCTCAATAGAATCAATACACTTTTGCTTTGGGGGACAATGATTCACTAGAGCATTTTTAGAAGACATAACAACTCAGTTTAAACAATAAGCCTAAAACTGCAAGATAATTAGCTTCAAATCTAATGCAGGGGAGTTAGCATTTGAATTAACAACAGTAGCAAATATACTAAATCCAATAGAAGTAACTATAATAAACTTTTGCTTCAAATGAAATGAATGCTTTGAAATAAGAGTATAAAAGATAGAGGAACAATAAAGAATTATCTGCTGAGAAAGCTCTTATTAAAGCCATTTAGAGTTAGCAGTAATTTTTAAGTTAATCTTAAAATAACACAGTCAATGCTCAACAATAAATGTCTTAGCAACAACAACAAATAAAAAATAAGGGCAAAAATGGGAGTATGGTTGAATATTATCCTTCCTCTTAGCAAGTACAATAGCTTATTCAAGTCTAGGAATTTTAAAAATCACAAAATCTAGACAGAACTCTTCGAGCAGGTCAATAACTTAACCCATAGCCCGATGAAATTAATCTGTTGCAAAGCAGATTACTGGAGTATCAAAACTAAATGATTTTTAATTAGCAACAATTAGCCTAGTAGAATCATCAGCTAAATTAGTAAATGTCTGTTTAGTCAATAAAGAGGAAAACATCAAATGGCCGAAACCACAGTAATATCACAAATACTTAGCAAACAGTTGGAAATCATGTTAATAGCAGAAATGCAGCTTAGTAATCTAGCGGAGAGAAGAAGCATTTGACAAACTCTAATCATAAACGTTCGAAAACTTCATTGAATTTTTATCCAACAACTGCATCAACAAATGAGAATAAACAAACTAATAGTATAGCCACAGCTGCTATGAATTAATAATAAGTAGAGAAGGTGAGCATTTTTGACCTTGAAAAAGAAAATCAAACCAACGAAAGCAAGCCTCCTTAAAAGCAGGTTAAGTTTGTCTCACAGTTAAAGGATGATAATAATGCTGTACTTAGGTCTAGAGATCAGATGAAGCGTAATAACTCAACTGATGGACAAGGAAATCAAATCAATGTCAAAGTACAAAACTCCAGATAGAATAACAATACAATAACGGAGTAAAATACTTAAGAATATATAATGAACCAATTTCAAAGTAAAACATTAGACCTAAGAGAGGTATAGTCATTGCAATAGCATCAAAATCATTAATAACTATAGCAGCATGTTTAGATGCTACAAAAATTTTCAACTAAAAACCCAGATTTTTAAGCAGTTTAATAGCTGAATTCAGCCCGACTGCCAATCTATCAACAGCCCTCTTAGAGCCTGACTCAATCAATAAGATAGAAGAGCAACGAAAACAGGCAGAACAGTTTGAATAGCACTGCTACCAGAAGTGCCAATGAGGGCTCAAGAAAAAAGAAAAACAGCTCTAACAACCTTGTTTCAAGCAATAATGTCAATGCTAATAATATGACTTTGAATCAGAATATCATGAATAAGTCAACAAACTAATTAGCTCACTCTCAGTCAAATAGTAATATAGCAGCTGGGACATATCATTAAGGCAACATTCAATATTAAAATTAAAGACATTATCAAGTTAATGGATAAAGCAATAGCAATTCGGTGCATAGAGTACCCAGCAAGGAAAGTTTGCATAGGCAAGCTGTCTAGTTCAGTAACCAGTCTCACGCATTATGAAATTAATTAAACTGCTTATTTATACAGATATATATGCATAATTATATATAAAATCTAATACACACTTAAGTTCTTATACTAATAATCTTCTCAAACATTTTAGGTTGTTTAATTTTACTCGAAAAATAAGTTATTCTTTAAGGATACTACAAAATCTATGGTAAGATTTCTCTTTATAATTATGGCTTATCACTAGCTACTTTGATTCATTAATATGCCAAATGTGTTATCCTCTATTGTTATTTCATAAAGCTTCTTTCCCAAAAATACCTAAATTCCCCAACAATCCATTTTTAATATTTCTTCATACCTTGAGCTTATCAGATTTTTCATCAATTCTATTATACTACTCTGTCCATCTACCATTATATCATTAAACAATAATTGTAGCTTACATAAAATGAATCTATCCAAAAGCTTTACTGCCATTTCAATAGGGATCAAGTTAGAAAATAACGTGAAAAATGGCGAAGCAAATAAAGACTCTAAGATGACACTATGCTTGATCAGATGCTCATTAAGCTTCGGAATTTCTTTAATTATAAAATCTCTTACTATTTTAGTCAATTCATAAAGCTTTGGGGCTGTCGAGGTGTATAGTCTTCTCCAATCATCAATATCTAAGATTCTTTTAAACACTACCCAAGATAGTTCCTCGTCATGATTCAGACATATCAGAATTAATGCGCAAACAAAACTCATACCCTGAGTGTATCCTAGGTCAGAATCAAAAATTGAATAGACTTTAAGAACATTGAAGAGTTTATTTTAGCCTGTTGTAGGATTTTGAGAAAATAGCTGCAAAGATGAAAATGTTCTTATAACATCTTTACTAAGAAGGCTTTCTACCTTTTACTGCTCAGATTTAGGCTCTGGTTTTACAAAAACAGTAGATCTGAAAAATTCTATTTGATTTTTATACTACTCGCTATCTCTATCAATTCCCAACATCAATTACCATGCAGCTGATCGTCCCTCTGAGGATAAATCATGCAAGCCTATGTTTACTGAAAGCTTGATCAAATCACTAAGATTCTTTAAATCAGGATTCGTCTTGAAATCAAACTTTTTTTGCTGGTTGAATTTTAACCAATCTTGATTACTAAGCTAATTTTGATAGTCCTCAACTACTTTGTAATTAGTCCATATTTATGCTCCTTCAATCTGAGAAATCATTAAATTCATTCGGTTTTCAGCATCATCTAAGGTGTCATATTCATCGCAGATTATATTGTCTATTGAATCAATTCTATTTTTCCTTTGAAAGTTATTTTAAACTGAATGCCAGTCATCTATTATAAATTTCAGTTTTTATTCATTTATAGGCTTATGAAAATCTCTTATGTTCTATAGTTTAGATATATCATTTTTCTCTATAAGCATAGCTGACTCTTCCAAAAATTTTGGATCAAATTCCTTTTCTAAGTAAATGAAATCATCCTCATCAAATGGAATCAGAGATTCGTTCTATTAGAGATACATTATTTTCCTTTAGGCAATTAGATCATACAACTAGGCATCTACCATTTATAACTCAATTAAAGAATAACTTCTCCTTAATATTCTAATAAATTATTCCAAATTTTCTTCTATATATTGAGTCCTGGGGTTTTGGGGTTTTGGGGTTTTGGGGAGATC